GGGGTTTGATCCCCAGTCTGCTGTGTGGGCCTCACCCCTGGGGCACACTGAGACTGTGATTGAGACTGGGCATGGTAGCATACGCCTGTAATCCTAGCACTTGGGCGGCTAAAAAACAGGAGGATCACTATGAGTCTGATCTTTGTAGTGAGACCCTATAGACCCTGTAGACCTTGTACTAAATACAGTAAAATAAGTAAATAGTAAAATAAAATAAGTATGGGACTGATATAAAGAGAGACAAATGGATAAATAGATCAAAAGAATAAATCCAGAAATAGAACCATATAGATATAGTTAGCAAGGATAAAATGAAATAAAATGGACAAGGATAGTGGGGCCCTTAGTAAGTGGTACTAGAAAAATTATATATCTATATACAAAAATATTTTGTTCATACCTCAACTTGTACATAAAAATTAAGTCAAAATGGATGAGAGAGCAAAACATGAAAATTTCTAGAAGAAGGCCAATTGGAAAAATCTACGCTTTCGGATGAAGGCAACTGTGACTCAGATATGACACCAAAAGCATAAAACAGGAATAATAAGTTTCACTTTATCAAAACAAAAATACTTCTTGTCCAAAGACACTGGTAAAAAAAAAATAAAACCACACACTATGAGAACATATTTGTAAATCACATGCCTGGATAAAATTTCTATCCATAATTATATAAACAAATCTTGACCTAAGGTTTAAAGAACAGGTCTAAGCTACCTGGGTAAGGGAAGGGATAGTATCCCAAGGCATAGGACAGGGTGAGTATCAGTGGCGGAGTGAGAGCTCTTCAGTACAGAGGGAGAAGCAGGCTGTGAACAGGAGAAGAGGCTAGGAGACACAGCATTAAAAGGCAGAGTAAGCCTGCTAAGGAGCTTACTTGATTCTGGGATAAAGGTATCCTTGTATGATTTTAGCAGCATAACACTGACAGATCAGTATTTTTAGATAGCTCCCTCAGAAGTCAACATGGAAGATGTACTTGCAGTGGAATAGTAGTAGTCAGGCCTGGTACAGCAACCAAGTTAGAGGAGGAAGAACGGTGGTAGGAAAGGAGAGAAGGGATATTCAAGAAAATGTTTAGAAGACAAGACTTCTTTTATTGATTTGATTTAGATGATAAATGAAGCAGAATAATAAATACTAGTTCCTGAATGTCTCTGCTATAAATATGCAGAATGTAAAAGAAACAGTTTAGTGAATTAAAAGCATTATATTATTTGAGTGTAAATATGAAATACTAAGGAAAATCTCATGTACAAACATAAGTTAATTTAATGTTTTTCATATAAATTATCTACAACAATTTACTGACTAATCAGTCTATCCACGATCACATATCCATAATGACACTAAATTCTCATTTACAGTTGATTTACATTGACGCACTTGTCTATACTCATGCTAACACCACAGTTCTTTTTTAACTAAATCTTTATTGAAAATTCTTGTCACATGAAATAAGTCCCACCTTGCCCATACTATATCTTCTTTCCCTCTTCAAAACTGTCATGAGTGTTTGGGGCCCTTAATAAAAATTTTGTTAAGCTTTATGAAGTCTGTGTTAGAATTATGACGAGTATTACACTGAATTGAGAGATCAACTTGCAGAGAACTG